GAGACTTATGACAGATAAAATATGTTAACGAAATAAATACACGATTGTGATAGAGAATAAGAAGCTGACGTCTGATTTCTTCAAGCGGTCGTATTTACCATGTTTACTATGGTAACGTTAATGGCTAGCGTGCATAGTCTTTTGCATCGCTTATAAATATTTCTGCCTTGTATGGTGATCATAATACACTTTGGATCAAGTTATTTCAAACACTCGCTGCTGTCTGAAAGTGAGTTTTGAACTAAACTTATTTTAAAAGTCTTTAATGCTGGTGTTATAGCTGTTAACTTTATGAAATGATCCGCGGCACTAACGCTCTCCAGACGCGTAGAAACTTCGCTTTGTTCATAGCCACTCCTCTAGCCCCAGCCGGCCTGCTTTGGTCCAAGGTTTTCGTCGGGCCAAAAAACCCGGGCTGTTGGCCCCGAGGAAGCACCGACGAGACACGATCAAGCCCCGGAAGTGACAGTGGAAACGCGACTGGCCCTGGCACGCACTAGCACGCCCGCTTTTGGCCCGACAGTGGAAACGCGGCTAATGAAATCAAGATATGCACTGTAGCCTTGACATTTTTAAAGCAAAATAAAAGCTTCTGTCTATGGTACAGTATGGTTTATAAAGGAAGTTGGATACTCTGACTTGGTCTTGTAAATATCAACAGTATCAAGCAAGTTCAAATGGGAGATTCGGCTAGGGATGTGAATGTCCACACTTAGTGTACAAGACAAAAATTGATCAGGCTCAGGCACTTAAAACATAATTTATTTATTATTCGAATTATATTCGAATTTAAAACGCATAATTTCAGTTAGGGTGAAGAAAACTTTTGGCTTCTCTCCTGAGGCTACAAGAGGGCGCATCGAGCAAAATATTACTAATGCACGTTTATTCAAAGCATAAGATAACATGACTATCTGTGAAAAAAGTGCATAATGTTTAAAATAATGTTTATAAACCATTTATAATTAATTAAGTTGCTTAACTATAAACAAAACAGCATCATGTATGTATGCATAGTTTAATACAAAGGGCCGAAAGCCAATCACACAGAGTACATTTTTCAGTTGCAGTGGGATGGGGAAAAAACCCTGTCATAAAGTCTCGAGATATGTTTTTTCAAAGTTGAACTTGCATTAATTTTACATGGCTTTCTAAACATGCGGCTCTTTTGTGCGAGACACGAGATATGTTTTTTTCAAAGTTAAACTTGCATTAATTTTACATGGCTTTCTAAACATGCGGCTCCTTTGTGTGAGATGTGAGTGCAACGGTAATAGATGTCCCTCTAGAAAATGCGCGAAATATGTGTTCTGTGTGAACGGCTTGGTTTCAGTTTTGATGTAAACAAGATCTTCTCTGCATTGATGTTCTCTTTTTTCTGCAGTATTTTTAATGAACAATGCAGCAGCGCCGCAAAAACATTATAATGCAACGACACTTACACCGTCATCGCATCTCGTGCGCCACTGCAACGTTTTTGCATTCGAATGTGGATTTTTATTTTAAATTCAACGAATATTCAAAATTCGAATTTTTTTTGACACCCCTATTGCTCAGTGATATATTGAGAGTATTTTTAACAGTCTTTTGGAATGTTTATATTATCATACAAAATTGACAAACATTTTTTTGAAAAATGATTTTAAGGAACTGGCTTTTGTTAAAGGGATATATCAACAGATGAATAACCTTTAGGAAAACACAGAAGACATTTATTTATTTTAATTTTGGAAAAAAACAAACAAAATGAATCAGAACCATTCATCTCCTCCTCTTTACTATGAAATGCACATGAATGAACATCAGAAGGAATGCTGACAGAAACAGTACAACTTACTGAAAGGTATCACATCTCATGTAATCACTCAATCAGTGTTTCAACCATGGAAAGACATCAATAAAACAGCTTGTAAGCATTGTCACATAACATTACATTTACCACAGGAAAGTCATTCAGGTTCCGTAAACTCGTTAGTCAGTTAGATTAAGAACTTTAGGGAGGAGCATTTTGATTAAAATTTGCACTGTATTACATATAATTGTTTTTACTTATGTCTTTATTATTTAATGTATGTTTCAGTAAATCTGTCATGATTTATTACAGCCACTGTTGAAATGTTTATATTTCAACAACAAACTGAAGAGAAATAAAAATTTGTATTATTAAAGTTTGTATAGAAACTGCCTCAAGCGCAGTGTAAATGTTTATGCATGTTTAATATTTATTTAAGTGTTGATTTATTAATTCATTATTAAATTAACTTTATTTTCTGTTTCTTGATGAACAGCAAGAGCTTAATCTAGCACTTTAATTCAAAGTGCTTTTTTATTCAGTCTATCAGCAAAGCCCTGGGTTTTGAAATTACTGTTTTGTAGTACAATACTGTATGATGCTCCTGAAATAAAACTCGGTGTTAAAACATTGTGACCAAATATTTGTATGTATACCATATATCGTGATTAGAGGTCGACCGATGTATCGGTTTTGCCGATTAATCGGCACCGATAGTTGATTGCTGGAACTATCGGTTATCGGCAAAAATCCATGCCGATAGTTTTCCAGGTTGCGTCCATTGCTTGCGCGGCTGAGAAGGGTCTGCGGTTCAGTACTGTTTTTGTTAATAAAGCACTATTTTAGTTTTTGTTCAGTATCAATTTTAAAACAATCGGTTAATTAATCTGTATCGGCCAGTGTGGTCCAACCTAGCTATCGGTATCGGCAAAATCAACTATCGGTCGACCTCTAATCGTGATAGTATCAATTCAGGAGATAAGCGTAGAGTCCCAGCCGTAATAGCAAGGCATATACGATGGGAACATGACTATGTACTGCATAGATGAAAGACACGTTTATCTTTAATTTTTCTTTACTTTATAGTAGCAGCATGTGTGAGCACACATGCCAAAGAGAATTGCGTTATTCACATTTACGGCTCTGTTCATATGTTTACAGATGAGCCAGCCAGCCCTAGTGTAGACCATGATGGCAGCCATATTCCTGCATCGGCTGTGATCTCTGGAGCTCAGGCTGTAATCTCTGACAGCCCCAGCCCTACAACCCCCAGCCCCCTCATGCGCCGGCAACTGTCTCATGACCAAGGTAAGCAAGTCTGTACAGATTTCAGATTTATTTGGAGCAATTATTGCCATCTGAGAGCACCACGTGAATGGATCAGTGAGCATTTTGTTGAGCTTGTTGCTGATGTTGTATTTTTGTCTACATGCATGCAGAGTCTCTCAGAAATGCCATTCTGGAATCGGGAACCAAAACGGAGCGCTCAAAATCATACGATGAAGGCCTGGACAACTACCGGGAGGAAGGCCGTGGGTAAGTGACGATTAAAAGCGTCGGATCATAATGTTGGAGATTACTGATGCTATCATTGAGTGGTTGTTTGACCTAACATAGTAATTCATTTCCACAGACGATCCAGCAAACCGAGTCTAAGGGTTTTCAAGAAGGTGAGAGACGCACATAAAAATCTCCCTCATAAAGAGCAGCTTTATTTAAACCAGAATGGTCATTCACTAATAATGCCAACAAAGTCTCTGTTCCAAAACCTTGTGAGATGCCTATGTTTGGAGTATTTTAAAGGGGTCATGAACTGCCTTTTTTCATCATTTTGTATTGTTCTCTGAGGTCCACTTATAATGTTGTCAAGATCTTTACATCAAAAAACATAACATTTTAGCAGTAATAGGCTATTTTCCTGTTTTGACCCCTTCATCCAAACGCTCTGTTTGAATAGGCGTGGTGGATTGTCGGCTCGGAAGTAAACGCCCACTGCTATGATTGGCTAACAGCTGTGTGTTTGACAGCCTACATCCTTCACAGATGGCCGCTGCTGTGATTTAGGTTAAAAACGCATAAATACTCAGCACGTATGAAACGATCTGTAATAACAGACAAAGCAATAGTGACCACGTAATAAAAACAGAAGGAAGGCAATGCAAAGACTGTTTTTCCACAACTTGGCTCTGCACAGTGTCTTGTTGTCTTCGGAGCATCTTTATCGTTTGGTTTCTGCATAGACCTGCGTTTGCCTCTTGTTATTTACACTACATGCGTGAATCGGTGGGCGGGGCTAAACAGGCAGTGATGTAGGAGCAGGCGTTGATCTACTTCTCCAGAGGCGGGGTTTAGCTACACTATTACATAATAAAGTGCAACATCCCACAACCTGTCGTTTTGGCAGATTGGCTTCAATATAAGCTGCTTTTAGACTAACGAGAAAGTTTTGAGTTCTGAAACTTACAGGATGTTTTATAGTACACTGACCTCTTATATGTCAAAAGATCAAGGTGAATTTAGATTTATCAGTTCATGACACCTTTCAGGCTTTGCCTAAAGGTCAATCCAAGATATCTCCTCTTAGTCAAATTCAAAGGCAATCCTATTGAAGTATTTGAAAAAAAAAGAATCCAAAGTGGTCAAAGAAAAAAAAAATTATGGTGCAACAGTTTCTGCAAACGATTGTGGGCAGTTCATAGGCACATCATGTGACATTTAATTAAGTGACTAGTCAATGTAATGTACAGCACTCCACATCGGTCACTTGTCAGGTTCCATTTCAGTTAGGGTGTCACCTTAGAAGGGAGCTGCCTATGTAGGCAGTAAACACAAGCAACTTAGGTTTTGGAACGGAGTAAAAATTATGCACAATTAGCCAAAAGTAGACGGCAAAATGTCATGTTTGTTCTGGTCTTATAGGCATTGGATGGCCATAAGTCTGATGACTCCAGCTCTAGAAGAGACTCCTCCACTGAGATCTTCAGTGACTCCACTAAGGAGGGTTGGCTGCATTTCCGACAGCTCAACACGGAGAAGGGCAAGGTGGGAAAACTGATCTCTCAGTCCTTCACTACTCATTTCCCATAGTGGCAGATTCATTCACGAGCATGTTGAATTGAATAGTGATAGTTTTACTATCATACTGTACTTTACATGCGTTCTTCTGTTTACAGCGAGTAGGAGGCGGTATGCGGCCGTGGAAACAGATGTACGCAGTGCTGCGGGGACACTCCCTCTACCTCTATAAGGACAAAAAGGAGGGGCTTGCTCACGTCAACTCGCAACTGGAGGACGAGCCTCAATCAATCAGCATCAAGGCCTGCTTGATTGACATCTCTTATAGTGACACAAAGCGCAAGAATGTCCTGCGGCTAACGACTTCAGACTGTGAGTATCTGTTTCAGGCAGAGGGCCGAGAAGACATGCTGTCCTGGATAAGAGTCATTCAAGAAAACAGCAACCTGGACGAGGAGGTTTGTTGACAATGATAGTGTTTTAACGTGATTGCTAAGGTATTTGTACAGTTGTGTGATGTAAATTTCATAAGTAGCATAGTCCGCATGTAAAGCCAGATTTGTCTAATTGTGCATACTCTGTATGCTCAACTTAGACTAATTAGTTTGTCCACAAGGTGCAAACACTGCCCAGTTTTTGTGTTTCACAGTCAAAAGAAACAGATGAGGTGGAAAATAAACCACTAGAGCGGCAACAATAATAGATGCCTGCTTTGGTGAGTGCTCGTGTGAGGGGTTTAAGAGATACCCACAACTCTAGTTTAAATGAGTACAAAGACGTTTTATCAGTCATGACTTCTGGAGAGAAATTCCGGAGACACTAAACAAGGATGACACTTTCTAGTGCGGATGTTTGCACACACTATCAAATGGAGTATCCTCTGCATTCGGCTGTACACATGCGCTAAGTATTTGCATCAAAATGGTAGTATACTTTGGGATTTAGACATCTTTAATGTTGACTTCATTGATGAAGTGACACCTCAAAACTAAGTATAAAGAGGTCAACAGTTGCAATTCAAAACTGGCCATGGCTGCATGTTCATTTCCTTCTGTTGAACACGCCAATATTGGATGAATTGGATACATAAACAGTTGAAGACTATTGCCATCTTGCTAATGGGCACACCAAACTGCCATGTGACTAATTACTGTAACCGCAGGGAAATGACAACCGGATAAAGCTGGATTGGCTGGTAGCCAACTGGCCTTCACTATTGGCTATCCTGCTGTGACGTCAAAGGCAGCAGACAGGGAAAAATCTATTTTATGCTTTTATGGGTGTTCCAAAAATCAGGCTCTGATAAAGCATCTGTTGTATACATTAAACTATTTCTGATATTTTCAGAAATCTGATTTATATTTTCTTGCAATTTTTATTATTTGAACAGCTAATTTTGAATCACAATAAATGGAGAAAGTTGTGACATAATGCTGTAGTTATAGCATCTACCAACAGAGGATAACAGGGCCATGCTCAGTCCTTGACTCCTTTCTAAACCGTGTCTTATTACACATTTAAAATGTCATGTGAACAGCCTCACAAAAACTAATATGAGCAGGAAATCATAGCAGATTAATATCATCATGTGAAGTCTGTGAACCATGTCTGCCCCCTCAGAGTTGACTGCACAAGCATCATAGTATTGCATAACTTTGTCCTGAATTGAAACCATGTGAAAACCAGCTTACTGCTAACACAACAGGGCTTTGTCATTGGATGAAATCAGTGTCGAGGTGACATTGTTTACTGAAGGTGTGAGGATTATGGGTAGGCTTGTTGTTAATATTCGTCTCCTGTGTTTGCCAGAGGAACTGGTTTGCCTTAACGCTCACAATCAGATTTATGTTGCTTTACATGAGGTTTGCATGTTACCACAATGCTAATGATTCTTTATCTTGTGTTTTCAGAACGCTGCCGTAACCAGTACTGATTTGATCAACAGAAAGCTCAAGGAGTATATATCCATGAGGTAAAGAACATGTCTTAGAGACCAGCAGGTTTGCCTTGCCATAAAGGCCCTGTTCCAAATCCTAGTGAGCTGCCCCACTGAAATGAAGCTCTGTTAGCTGTCACTCACATTGAACACCAAACAAAAAGCATGGCCACGCACAAGACTTGACTGGCACTCATTGTTGATTGACTTTGCTACTAGACATGATATTTGAAACAAAACCAAAACTGCAGTATGGCTTAGCATAATTATCAAATTGCAAAGGCTATTATTTAAATTAATAAATACATGCATTATGTATTTTCAGAGTGTAGAGTGACTACTCTTACATGTAAGCAGCTAATGATCTTGTGTTTTTAATGTCTCGCAGCGGCGTGGTTCATGTTAAATTATCTGTATCTGCATCTGAGTTTGGGTCGATAACAACGTGCATTTGGAAACTAGTATGTATCTTTTTCAAATGAGTTATAGAAGATATAGAAAAATAACGTTTAAATTGATATACTTTGATACTTCAGATTCATTTAAATATTAACAGAGGACACATAGCAAGCTGCTGCGGCAAATCTGCATGATCCAAGCTGCCCTAAACATGAGATGTGCAATAATTCTGACTAAAATATACTTTTTGCAAAAATATTTTACATCCAAAAGTGGAAGCAGTTCAACTCATTTCTCCCATTTACAACAGCACCATACAAGTGCTGCAGTACGAGTGTTTTCCAGCCGGTTGGCAGTAGCAAAGACAGAGCTGTGGTTTGTTCAGTAAATCACTTTTTTTTTTTTTCTTCTTTTTTAAAAAGGCAGGTTTTTTTTTTTTTTCGTTCTGCTGTACCGAAAACATACCAAACTATGACTTAGAAACCAAAATATTCACCTTACTGACACCTAACCCCTATTGGAAAGGCAACATGCACAAACCATCTTCCCAAAGTTGTAATGAAAAGCACTTATAAATCGGCTGTTGTCAACTAAAGATAAGCATTGAAGACTCCCCGCGGTTTTCCTCAAATTAAAGGCTGTAAAAAAAAAATTTTTTTTTATTTTTGTAAATACTAAATTTTTTACTATTTTACAATGAAATTACAATAGTATTGTTTGTTTTTATTTAGTAGTACATGGATGTAATTAACATAATGATAAACATTCAATATTTACGCCTGTATACCTGATGTGCACGAGCTGATAGGCAGAGCACGCTGAGTAGATTGAGCAGTTTATTTTTTGTTTAATTTATTTTTATTATTTTTTTTCTGTACCCAATATTTTAAATATAATATTTTATTTCCCATTTTTTTTTTTTTTTATTACAAATGCTGTGAAAATACAGGTATCGGTATCAGCAAGTACCAAAAATAAAAGTATCGGTATCGGACTCGTTCTGAAAAAAGTGGCATCGGTGCATCCCTAATTCCTTTTTTCTTCTTACCTTACATATATGATGAGGTAGGGACACACCAAACTGACACCAAAGAACTAGCGCTGAGGAAAGCAATGCATCGCATCGCCTGCATTGGGGCAAAAATGTTGCACTAGAAGACACTGGACAGACTACAGCCGACGGCCATTTAGCGTGTACGCTCTGCACTTACATGACATAACATAACTGTCCCCATAGCAGCAAGTGGCAGTCGTCTGTATTCGGCATTCAAACAGGAAAATCGGAAGAGCTAGAACTGTGGATATACAAAACAAGCAGCGCTTGCTTTTACCATTGTTTACTCCAGCCGTGCTCTGCCGAGCTCCGCTGCCAATTCGACATGCAGAATCGGCTGAAATGCAGCTGATGGCATCTGACTAGAGCCAACGGTGCGGAACACACCGAAAAAACGAAAGCCGGGCAATGCTCAAAAACCACCCGACATTGCCCGATGGCCAGTCATCAGCTTGGTGTGTGCCGAGCTTAAGATTGCCCTGTGTTCAGTGTCCAGTAATATGTGTGTGTCATTACAGTGCACCCAGCAGTAAGACAGAGCCATCACCCAAAACCTCACGGCAGTCCCTCAGCATTAGACACACCCTGCTGGGCAGCAGCAGTAAGAGTCAGAGCCTCTACTCGCCCAGAAACGAACAGGAGAGGAGTAAAGGTAGCAAACGGCATAATGAAATAACACTGAAACCCATCATGTGTGCTTGATCTCAGTGAAATGTTAATGTTAGCGATATGTGTCTCAGATGACTCCAGTCCTCCGAGAGATAAAGCCGCTTGGAGGAGAGGAATTCCAGGACTGAAGAAGAAGCCTCAAGATAAGAGGCCCACTGCTGGCGTCATGTTTGGAGTACGACTGGATAATTGCCCTCCTGCACAAACAAACGGAGTAAGAAATTCAAGAGATTACAAATGCACTACTGCATAATGCAAATTAAACTATTATGGGTGAAACTCACATAAACATGTCAAGGTTACATTTCACTCCAAGAGCAAATGGAAAAAAAATTTAAATTAGATTTTCAGTGAAGAAACTTACGCCTGTACAAATTTTTGCTTTGGGACATTATTAGTATATTTCCCCCTCTATGTATCTGAATGTTTTACATTTGAATCTTTTGTATAACGTAAATGTTTGTTTTTTTAATATTACATTACCGAGAAGTAAAAAAAAATTGTCATGATGGGAAAATATGAATGGTTCAAAAATAGGTTCCATTTTGACTTTGGGATGAAAAATTACCTCCTTTTGGAGTTTTGTGACATTATATGGTATTAAAAATAACACTAATTACTGTGTTATAGTTTGTTCCTTTGATCGTGGAGGTGTGTTGTAAGTTGGTGGAGGAGAGAGGGTTGGAGTACACAGGCATTTATAGAGTCCCTGGAAACAACGCTGCCATCTCGAGCATGCAGGAGGAACTAGACAGTAAAGGCATGACAGACATTGATATCCAGGATGATGTGAGTAAACACTTCTGTGTTGTGTGCTATTATACATGAGCGCTTGTACCATAAAGACAGACCTGATCTTTATGCTTTTATTTTGTTCAGCAGAAGTGGCGAGACCTCAATGTGATCAGCAGTTTGCTTAAGTCCTTCTTCAGGAAACTTCCTGAGCCTCTCTTTACTAATGGTGAGACACATTGATCGCATAGAATAGATGATTCTTCTGGCTTTATACAAAACTCATGGAAAATACTGTGTGCTGTCTCTCATAGAGAGCATCTCATATCTAAGAAAATGTTGCATCTCAGCTCTTTTTTCTCCACATGTGGAGGAAGGACTCCTCCAAGAGGACAAATTGGGCCATAGCTCATATGGTCATAGAAAACCAGGCATAATTTCCAAGCCTGAAAAATCTGTGGGGGTGGGGGGATTTTATATATATATATATATAGAGAGAGAGAGAGAGAGATTTTACGTATGTTCAGCTGCAGTATTTTTGTTATTGTATTTTTTTTTTTTTTTTTTTTTGGAATCATTAAAATTATTGAGTTAAATTAAAAAGGCTTACAGAATTACTTTATATTATTTAATGAAATGATAAATAATTATTACAAATCATTTTCGGTTTCGGTTTTCAGCCAA